AAAAATTAGTGGTTCTTAGAAAAATAGTTATCTTTTAATAAATCAAAAGAAATAACTTATTAATAATATCATAAATAAAAGCTTATTTATATTATGTATCGAATTTAAGATTAATAAATTTTAACTTTTAAGATAGAATGCAACTTTAAATAAAAATATATAATGTTTTTTATTTTTAAATTCTTATTGTATAAAAATTTATAAAAGTAAAGAATTTACAAGTCCATCAATGCAATTGAGCATTTTTTAATAAATAATATATATTATATAAATCTTAAAATTTTCTATATAAAATTTCTTGGAAATCAAATCAAAAATTTAGAAGTTTTAAGAAAGAATTTAAAATTTCTACGTATAATATATTATAATCATAATTAAATAAAATATCAGATTAATATCAAAATAATTCTATATCAACAAAATTTTACAAACCTCTAACATTTTTGTATAATTTTGTTACCTTACTCTTTAATTATACAACCCTCTAAAAGAACAAGACATATTTCTTTAGATCTAAATTTCTGAACAATATAGCATCTTCAGTGCTTGAAACTGTCATACATTAAAAATGATGAAGTAAAAAGTTGATACAATAGACAAGATTAAAAAATTGTCATATTTGTCTAATGGGTCTTAATGAATTGATTTTTTCAGTTTGAAAATATAATTTTAAATTAAAAATTCAGGTATCTAATGCAAGTTTGATATAAAATTGATATTGTTAATCAACAATATTTTTTAAACAGCAGAGTAACTACCAAATAGCTTCAAAACAAATACCGACAATACAAAAAAGATAATTGTATAAATCATGAAGTAAACAAAGAATCTTAAATTACCAAAAAAGATTAAAAACAAATCTACAAAGTAGAAATATCTCTAAGTATATAAAATAAACATAAACATAAGAAGAACAATTAGTATATATATATATATATATATATATAGATATATATTTAAAATTACACTTAAATATTTAGAATAACACCATGAGATCGAAATGCATTAATTTCATGTTTAACAATAATAAATTTTACAAAAAATAGTTAAAAAAGATTAGTAAGATTATTAGATAAAGTTTAAATTCAATGCAAAACATGATATAAAGATATATATTTAAATATAACTACATATATTTATATATAACTAAAATCAAATCAAAATATATAAGTATGTATATACACATTATATTACATACGTTGAAGTTATTATTTGTTTACAATAAACATATACTTTCTCTCTCTGTTTGCTTGACTTTTGCTCCAATTTCAGAGTGATATGACGAATCTTATGTGTAGATATAATTCTTCTATTTTTTATAAATTGGCATGTATTTTATAGATTGGCAGTCATGCTCAAAATGTTCCATTGTAGACACTAGGTCTTGAATTCAATTGTAGCTTACAAAACCAACCTCTTTTTTTACTCCATGCCAATATTCCAAACACCATCATATCATTTGGATTTTTATTTATTTATTTATTTATTTTGGAAACTCTTTCCTTGGGACACTCCATCTTCTCTTTTGTTGAACTTGTCATCGTTGAGCTACCAAGTGCAAGCACTTTTGAAATGTTTTTGAAATTGCCAAAATTTTCAATTAGATAATTACTAATTTTAAAAATCCATTTCCCCACTCTCGAAATATATATATATATATATATATATATATATATATGTTGGTGGCAAATATGAGTCTACATTACATCACGATTTTATAATAAAGACAACATAGGTCACTTTTTCTACAGTTTGTGCAAATCTACCCAAAAATATTTATGTAAATAATTGGAATTCTGACAATGCATTTGGCTTTTGGAAATCTGCTCAACTTGTCCTACCTGGACTACCCCCTCCCACATGCAGGGGCAAAGATGATTTGATGGTGTGCAGCCAAAGCACCACTAGAGCCTTTCTATAATTGAGAAACAGCATCTCTTGGGTGCAAATCTCCAAAGCCACTGGTAGTTGAAAACCTAATCCTTAAAACAAACACATGGCTGGGCTTGGATCCTACTACTTTAGGGTTTTGTGAGTATCTCCTGAACCGAGGAAGCATTGGGCCTCCTAACTCAACAAACTTTGTTTGCCACTTGGGCTCCCACTGCTTTTGTCCCAAGCAACTCACATGATTTTGGCCCCTTCTGTTGGATCCTGAATGGTAGAAGAAAAGGATGATTTTTCCTGAGATGAATAACATCGAGATGCTATATATTGAAGTGAGCAAGCAAGAGTGTGTGTGTAGGTGTTTGTATATACACACCCTTCCGAAAAATTGATCTTTTGAACCAGAGAAATGAATCACAGGAAATTAATGTTAATAATAATAATGAAGTGTGTGTATCTATATATATATATATATATATACATACATGAAACATGATAGCAATATGTGTGTATGGAGAATAACAAGTGGACCCAGTCAATCACACCTACTTCTGAATGCACATCATACTTATAAAATAGAAACCAAGCGTTAATTGGGAAAAAGGCTGTGGTAATATTCCCTAACTTTTTTGCTTTTAGTTTTTGTGTAATTTACAAGTGCCCCATTAATACCCATAATTGAATCTCATGGAAATAATTGAAGCTTTCCCCAGTTGCCACTTGACACAATGAAAGTATTTCACATCCAAGTACACCTCATGGCTTGGACTAAACTGGGGCAAACAAAAAAAATGTTAAAATTTAAAAATAAAATAAAATAAATTATAAGGAATGGAGTACACCCCTCTATATTTCGTGAAAAAAAGAAAAAAACACAATGACAGTATATATATATATATATATATATATATATATAATTTTTTTTTCATTTCCTTGCCGAAGTTCACTGAGTTTTACATTAACCAATGTCTTCTTCATCCAACATAGTCGGAGTTATAAGCTGGTGAAAGTAAAATTATACATCAGTAGGATGACTGTACTCATCCATCCAACACGCATGAAGACTACACAAAGTTGAGTGGTGGGACTGACTGCCCGGTGTGGTTAGGTGGGTAGTCTTTATTAACGAAGTTGTTTGTCTATTAATAGACCATATGCTACAGTAGGATATTCATATTCTGTGCTATTAATAAAAATCATTAATGATATTAGTTTGAACTCTATCATAAGAAAATGGAGAATCCAACCTTCAATATTTTCCCACTATGTACGTTCACATTGGAATTGTAGACCTCATAACATCAAGAAAAATTCGTGTATTTCTGATTCTTAATCTTTGTTTTGGTTGGTACCAAAGGCTTTATTAGTAACCTCCCAACATTGTTAGAAACATGCACTCACATCTTGGATGCGGAAAAATAAATATGTAAATATAAAGCAAAGGCTTGGAACATTAAAGGACACAAGGTGCGGAATTCTTTACAGCAAAATCATACATCCAATCAGGACTTTTGGCTTTTCTATTTGGATACCATCCCAAAGGAGGGGGGGCTCTCCCCAAATAGAAAAAATAATTAAAAAAATACTTTTGTCACGTATTTGAAAAGCACAAGAATGAATGAATAAATGTTACCGCCATGTGGATGAATGATCGGCGGTGGAGTGGGACATCATCCACCACTACAACCCAAGCATTCGCTTTTCATCCACTGACAGTGCCACATCTTTGTCAGACACGTGTAGGTTCCACGTCAGCAGGACAGGGGTCACGGAGCCCTGCAGATACGGCTGGATGATTTGGATGAATGATAATACGTCAGTCAGTGAGTGAGGTGGATGAATGAATAGATATAGGATTCCCCAGTGGGTGCTGGACTTAAGCGTGTGCGGCTTATGAGAGGGTGTGAAAGGGCTTAAAGCTGGTTGGAGCAGTGGATTCCTTATGCTAAGAACCACCTCAAGGTCTTTATGGGGGTGACTTAGTCACAATAGCAGTGTAAGGAAGGCATTATAATATTGTTATTATATATTACATTATTCTTCCTTGTTACCCTAAGTCGATTTTTTGTATGTAAACTTTTTCTATGCCAACATTTGCATGGTAAGAACCATTACATTGGGTTCAATGGATAATTCATTTTTGCCCTCTTATGAGTTGATGTGTCCAGCAAATCCCACTAGTGTAGTAGTAACAAGAAGAACAAGAACAACAGCAACAACAAGTCTGCGTGTTTGTATTTTTGCAAACTTTGCTTTCATTCTTCTTCTGTTGTTGATGATCTTTGTTGATTATTTGTTTTCCTCTGTTCTTTAAACTGCACATTAGGGTAAAATAAAAACCCTCCATTAAAACTTTGGTTCAAACGTACTAGATGAGGTTGTGATGTTTTGATTTATGTTATCATGTGGATGATATGATTTTTGAAATTATATTAAAAAAAAAAACAATGTTTGTTATTGTAGTGTATGGAATGATCTCGTATTGAATTCTCTTTTAGCATTGTGTTGTCTAAGTAATGGTATGTTTTATAACTTGAGATGTATGAACAATTAATACTGCGTGTGTATAACAACCACTTACAATAATTTATATTCCTCGAAAAACAGAAATATATTCACATGTGTCTCCAAAACACAATACAACTGAAGTTCTCGTAGTCACGAGTAGCACCATTTAGTACACATAAAATGGGGATCAACGCTACTACTGTTGAGCAATGAATTTTTTTCTGTTGGGAAATCCTTTTCCAAAATTATTGCCACAACTCAGTTGAAGTAATATCTCCATACAACCCACTAATTCACACCATCACCACCAGCTTGCGAATTACGTTCCGTCAATGATCCATGTCCATAGTTTTGATTGAAGAGTGCCGCGTCGTAACATGAGAAGCTGAATTATCTACGCAAATTATCAACTCCTCGTTTTATTGTCGGTTCTGCCTGTCTTGGATTGTCCGCCAAAAATAGCACCACATCGCTAAACGTGAGCCATTGACGTATCGCGAGCAGAGTGAGCCATTGACGTATCGCGCCCCCCCATCTAGTGTCTAGAAAGTAAAGTTGAGCACAGCAAAATCTCAGTCACAGCGCACCACCTGGGCAGGCAGGCAGGCAGCGAAGCAAAGGGGGCAAAGCAAAGCATCCAGCGTGGGGATCAAAGGGGAGCTCGGGATTATTCATTATCCCTCAAGGATTCGATCACTAGGACCAAACAAAGCCAGCCAGCCAGGATTGATTACTGAAGGGCCAGCACGCAAGTGGAAGCTGTGGAAGGAAGGAAGGAAAGGAAAGGGAAGGAAAGGGAAGGGAAGGGTCGAGGCTCAAAAAGCTGAGCTGCTGCCGCTGCTGCTGCAGTAGTGCCCCTCGCTCGAGCGAACAAGGCAACAAGGTATTGATGATGATGATGACGATGATGAGCCAGTGAGCCACGAATTGGGCGATAGTGTGGATTTTCTGGGCATGTCAGAGGCGTGCTGTGTGTCCTCGTACAATTTATTCCACCGGGATCTTCACTGTGCTTCCCTTGCGGGAGCTTAACTTACACATGTTACAAGGAGAGCTTGTTTTGTTTGAAACGGAGGGGAAGTGTTGAAGGAGGGGATCAGTAGTGGGTGCTTGTTTGTTTGGCAATCCGAGTGTGCTATCTCTGAGGGTGAGAGTTTTGCGCGAGGAGCATCGAAGGTATTTTCCCTCTCTTGAGATGTATTTAGGCTGTGGGAAAATGGTGCATAGGCAGTAGTGGGTGAGCTGGTTGTGTTTTCGATGGGCTATCAGCTTAGTATGCAATTGGATTTCTTCGACTTGAACTTTTGCAGTGGAGAAAGTCGGGACGTTACTTTTGCTTCTTGTGAGATAGAAGTGTCTCAGTTGTCGGCCGGGTCTTCGGCAGTGGTAAGGTTGCTATTACGGGTCCTAGTGTGTTATTATCTTCTCTGTTGTTTTGAGAAAGTAGCAGTGGTTCTTGTAGGGGTTGGACTATAATACTAAATCGAATGATCTTTCAATGCTCAAGCGCTAGTTGAATTTTGCGTGTACTTTACGAACAGCTTGGAAATTCTGAAACATCAGGTCTTTCTGATTCGTAATGTTACGTGATTGTTCGACGAGTTCGTATACTTTCTGAGACAAGTGCCTTGATTGCTAAATGTGAGATCCAAACATTTCTATTTAACTGAGATCAAAGACTCCATTGTAGTAGTCTGTCTGGAGCTTGCAACTATTCTCCCGTAAATCATTTTTCTTCTAGTTAGCGCGAAAAAATGGTCTTATGTTTTTGTTCTTTTTCTTTTTCCCCTCTCGAATTCTACAATTAGTTTTAGAGCTTCGAAAGCGCATTAGAGTGTAGCTTGTATGTTCATAGTCGTCAGCATGCTGTGTCCTTGTGTCAGTCAGCAGTGTAGGAAGTGAGTGAATATACTGCAGTGGGTGGGACAAGTCTCGCAAATTTAGCACTTGAGAATGTGTCTCATTTGAGTGCAGAGCAGTGCTGTTACTTTTGATCCATCCGTTTCTCCATACTTTGTCGAATGAACTTAACTTCTTGACCTGTGTGGTTTTCAACTTTTCGTATTTCCTCAGACAACCTCTTAATTTTTTTCCTCCTCTATAATTTTGCCACACTTTACTACAATTTATATTGCTTATGGAGTCACATGTATTAACCATTTTAAATGCTACATCTAAGTTTTTTTACTTCTTCTATTTCATTTTTCTTTCTTTGCAGGTTATTCCGCTCGCTTCTTTAGAAGCCGCATACTTTTCGACAAGCTTTCAACAATGAGCAGACGTTCTACAGTAGTTGCAACATAAAACTAATGAAGCCACCTTCGAGGCTAGTTCGCTACTGCATATGCAAGCACTATGCTAATGAAAGCGGCGTTTACTTATTTTAGCATCTCTCTTGAGGGTTGAAAAAAATGTTATGGTCATTATGGCTTTGCGCAACGGCTGGTTGTCAATTACTGCCCAATGACTTGAGCTTCTACACGGTATCCGTCAAATTAGGAATCATTAATTAACGAAGGGTCAGTTCAGTGCTCTTGCATTTCAGTCTTTTAAGAAGTTTTTTGTGAAAGTGAGAATCAATGGGAGCTTGTCTACAAAAACATGTTCGTGAGAAGGTGGATTCAAAATCTGCCGCCATTGTGCCGTCTTGGGCGTCGTCGCCTGGATACATAGATGATGACGAAGGCAGGGTGAAACTGGTTGGAGATGTCACTTGCCCCTACACTCAGCGTGTTCGCATTGCTCTTCTTCACAAGGTAAGTGATATGCCCCTTGTGGCTGTCTCTTTGTCTTTGAGAAGACTCGACCTTGTGTGTGCTTCTAGTTAATCCGATTCTGATGCCTTAAAATTGTCATTATAGTAAGATCCAAATCAACAGAATTTATACCAACTAGTATGGTTTGGATTTTTAGAACTTGTTCGTTTGGCATCAAAGCCATCATCCGGCACACTTGAGAATCTGTCATGAGAACACAGTGATAAGGGGGACATTGTGCATTGTATTGCAGAACATACCAGTGAATGCGTCCTTGGTAATGCCAGATGACCTTCGCAGTTACAGAGCAGAAAACTTGTCTGCTACTAGTCCAGATGGAAAGTATCCAGTTTTCCAGCACGGGGACCAAAAATTTACTGGATCTGTAGACGCAATGTTGGCTTACATTGAAGAAACCTTCGAGAATCCACCACTGCTTCCCAATGGACTGGAGAAAGAAGTGGCACGGTGGGTTTCGTACATCCGAGATACTTTTACTGTTAATGTTCTGGATATTTTACACAATGGGGATCCATATGCACAAGATTCTCTGGAGGCAAGATTGAACGAATCGTTGGCCCGTTTGGACAGCGGGATTAAGCCACAGGGCAAACATTTTCTGGGGTCGAAGTTCACACTTGTGGATGTCTATCTCATACCCTTTCTTTCACTCGTGGATCTTGTCACTTACGTCCGGGGCTTTACTATCGATTCTTCTTACTCGAGATTACTTTCGTACAAGTTTTCTATGTGCAAGTTCAAATGCTACAAGCCCGTGCAAGTGGGTGTGGATCTGTCCAAAGATATTTTGGTAAAATCTTCAATAGAGAGACCCCCTCTGCCGCTGGTTAGCTTTGCTCTTTTACAGCACAAGTCCATAACCTGGCATCTAGAAGCCTTTGTCAAGTTAGTGAAGGAATTTGACGGCATAAACAGGAAACCTTTCGTGGATACGATGCAAAGAACCGTGTTTGGAACACGGTTGAAAGAGCTCCCAATAGCGTATGGTCGTCTGCTTGAGATCCTGCAAGAACATGCTCAGATGGAGGAAAGGATAATTTTTCCAGCGCTAGAAATGGCTGACCAAGGTTTGTAGTCTATAACTTTTTTATGCTTTTGCAAGTTCCTATCAATTGCAGTGAAGGAATGCTACATGCATAGCACATTGTGTAGAAGGGTAGCACAAGCGCCAACTCACTATTTTAAGGGTTAGGGAGTCAACAAACGGTTTAGGGTCCGGTGAGCCAACGTAGATGACGGGCTAGCCTCTCATCGCCCAGATGCCGAAGGCTACTAGCCAGCCTCCCTCGAGAATGCGACAGGGTCATGTTTGGTTGAATTTCTAACTTACGATTCCTCGATCTGTCTAATTAGGATAGTTGTATGATGAGGTTTTGGCTGGGACCCCACAGCAGCACTCGAAGGTCTTGGGGTGCTGAGTGTCTAAGCCGTTACTGAAGGTAGTTGTATCTTGTTCAAGTCATGGAGTTTATTTGGCACCTTCTGAACTGAGACTAACTGTATGTGCTCTTGCTTGTCGCGTGACAGCGTTGACGGAGTCCGCACTTCGAGACCATTCCCGGGACTTACCAGTGATGAATGGGATTCGGGAAGATATTAAAGGTGTCATGAGTTTGAGACTGGGGAACTCCGATCACCGCGAAGCATTGTCTGCACTTGTTGGCCGTGTGGAAGCTTTTGAGGTTAGCACTACTCAAGCGATTGACTCGATTTACCATTATAGAGGATAGTTCTCTCGTTCAATGTTTGATCTTAAATGCTTTCTGCACCCTCCTCGTTATGTGCCCCTTCAGAACTTAAGGTAAATAAGTAGAGCTCAATGAATGTGAATCAAGGATAGGACATGTGAAATGCACTCTTTTGACAAAATTAGTACTGTAACTTTGCATCATGCACCAACACAACTTATTCCATGCAGGTTCACGTCAAAGAGCATTTTAAGGAAGAAGAGAAAGAGCAGCTCCCACTTCTCCAGGCGGCTGGTTTCGGGACTAAGAAGCAACAACCCATGGTAGGGCAGGCTCTTGCTATTATGGAATCCTCCCACTCCAGATTGTTACCCTACATATTGGAAGGGTTAAGACCTCATGAGGTTCACCAATACCTGGGTATCATGAAGTCAACAAGCTCAGATGCAGAAAAGGAATACTTGATACCAAAAATTGCACACGCTTTGAACAACGATGAGTATGAAAATGTCCGGAAAGTGGCTGTAGATAGAGTTCCAGCGCTTGGTGGACCGCAGTACACCAAGGGCCAAAGCAGACCAAGCATGGATCAAGGTGACTCATGGTACTCGCGGAGAGCCGTCAGCTTCATCCATTAAATCTGGAAGGCTGTCATGACTTGGTAGTTTTGTCGTGGAATTATATTAAACAGAGCAACGTAGTTCATAGCCATGTCTGCCCTTCTTTGGTCTCTTCAAGTAGTCTCTTAACTTGGTAATGCTTATTCTAGCCACTTCGCCTTGGGTCTGCATGGGTGCGATTTTCCAGTGAAGAGGATGTCGCTGGAAGAGAAGAATAGTGATTTCCACTATAAACTCCGTGATGGCCGAAGCTCGCTAGTCGCGTGGTTGAGAAATAGCCCCTGAACCTCCAGAAAGATATGTACGAGGGATGTTCTCAAAATCTAAGCAGTCAACTTGACCGAAGATCTGGAAGGTGAGTGCGGGTACAGCACATCATTCTTGACCATGAAGTCCATGAGTGAACAATATGCCGAAATTGTTGGTTGTAACAAGAACCCAGCTCCACAAAGAAGCATTGCGAGGGTTTCGTTGTAGTCCTTGTTCTGCTTAGGCTTGTGAGCTCAAAGTGATATGTGAAATATGTAGTATATTGCAACAACTGGAAACCACCTGCAGAGTGACAAGATGTACTTATGCGGTTAATAGACTTTTGTTAGACAACCCTCTGACTGGGTTTTTAAAGGTCACATGTCGAACACTCTGAGTAATGGACATCTCGAAGTTTAAGTGTAAGCCTTTTTGTTCAAGATCCATGACCTATGGCCATTGTGGTGTCTGTTGCTTCCGATATACTGCTTGGTGAGACCTTGATTTGCATAATCGCTGTTAATGTGCTGCATAGGATTTTCTACTTTCAATACGTCTGCTTAAAAGTACTATGTGAAAAATGACATTTTGATGTCAGACTACAAACTGGATACTCATAGGTATGCTAAACAAATGTAAATATTGTTTCTGTAACGGCATGTACACAGTGAACGAGGAAATTCCAAGCAGCTAATTGAATGGCGCAGATGATCTTTAGTGGGTTTTGTTGTTCAGACTGACATTGTCACGTATGCCTTAATATCAGAAACAGTTGATGAGAAACTCCGTCAACCATAATCAAGACCCCTTCATTGGCTGATTGATGAATTGCTGCCTGTACAGTATTGGATCTCATGTGCTAATCACTTGCATAACCCGTTTCAATGAAGATGTAATGTCGTGCAAGTAGGGGTTGTCTTAGCTATTCCACATGTACAACTGTTTACTTAGCTTCCTCTACGAAAAAAAGCGTGTTCTACGCTGATGAGCAGAGGAAAGAATACTGCTGAAACATTCATACACTCATATACTCATGAAGTGAAATGAAAGTGATTTTTTTTTTTTTTGTTTGTTTGACACAAATAGAGTTGATTCTCTATTGCAAGTAAGTAAGGTTACATAATCCCAACCAAGTCCAGTTAGGGTGTTAGTTTATAAGTTAGAACTATGTATATATTAACTAATTGGATAAGATAACTTCCATTCTAGTTTGTTTGCTTTCTATACTACTAAAACCTAGTTCATACACCATGTCCATTGAAACTATTGAATGTATTCGACTATTTGATAAGGTCTACATTTCATGTTTTTCTAAGACTTGAATCATGCATTCCTACCATAGTCTACCAATTGCAGCCACATCCTATAGAATACTTGCTTGGATGACCAAAGAATCCAGTTGAATACGACATTGTTTTCTTGATCCATAGTACCGACATTACTATTCCTTGCATTTATAGCCAAATGTAATTAACTTTCTTAAATAGTCTTGATATTCAATATGTTAATATACATAATTTCTATAATGGCATAAATTGTGTTAACTTTGAGCTTTGATTAGTACTATGCATCATATTCATTCTTATATTGTATTTGCCTTCATTAATGACAACATCGATTTAATTAACATTACTCACTCGGTTTGTCTTTAAATACTAATCGAAGATGAGGAATTGAAAGACATGTATCTTCCACTTCTAAGCTTTTATTGTTGATGGGTACTCCTAAAATTGATGGAACATTATTTCACATATATTCATTAGGCATACTAAACAACAACAATCAATCTCATTTCTTATCCTTTCTTTCTAAGCGTTCACTCCAATTGTGCTATACCAAACCAACCATATGAACTCCACTTCCTTCCTAGTCCTCTTTACATCCCATACATTAACCCATTTGAGCTTGAATTGGGATGAGAGGATGCCACTTTTAATTTTGTATAATAACATTCAATATTACATGTTACTTTTTTAACAATTCATGGCCTAATTGTATTCTATATTGTATGAATGAGGTATGCTATGTCCACTAGTAGAATCCAAGATCCCACATCAAGCAATCAACTCTAGCATAATAGAGATAGTAGATTTTTCTTTTGTCTTTTAGTAATCAAAATTATCTTGATTCATTTAAAGCTATCCTTGAAGTATATACCTTTAGTGATCTTGTCTTTAGACTCATGATATATTGCTTGCTTTTGGATTTGTGTGAATTTGCATAAAATATAAGTTATTCCCTCAAATTTATATATACAAGTTTATGAGAGAACCCAAAATTTGGTAGCTAGTAAGCCAATAAGATAATTATTTGAGTTTTGCTAGACCTCTATGTAGGATCTAGCTTCTTTATTTTAGAATACATCCACCCATTTCTCTTCTCATAGATCCTAGAATGTACTAACAATGAGATACACTCTTTGTTGAGCTAGTTTATTGACTAGTGATGTCAATGCTCCCTCCTCTTGTTGTGCTAAATCAAATCAGTCTTTTGTCATTAAAAAACTTAAGAAGTTATCATTCTTCCATACATCCTTATATTTTTGGAAGCCATGTTTGTGTAATTAGGTTACTTATATTTTTGAAAACCTAAGGCCAATGCTATTTATTTTTAGGTTGTGCCAAATACTTCTATTAATCCATTCTTCATAGCATATTGGAGGTAGGTATATCACTTCTAGGTAGAAATCTTTCTATGCTAATCCAATCTTTTTTCAAATCTTGGATTCTTTTCAACTTTAATGCTTTGTTATACTAAAGAATTTGATGCTTGGTTGCTACCTTTCTTTTGAATAGAGTTGAAAATGATTTAGGTAGTATCTCAATATCAAGTATAAATTGGATTCAAAAGATTCTATTGCTTTGATAATCCATTTGTCTATTATTGCCACAATCACATTTGTTGGGTTGATAAGTTTAATACCACGTTTGTGGAATGGTTGGCGACATTGTAACCATACCACCTTGGAATAAGCACATTGCAATATTTTCCTTGCAAGATAATTACTTAGAGATACCTTAATTTTTGAAACATCTAATAGAAGTAAGATCAATTTTTTTAATGACCACTTGATTTAGTCTAATTCAAGATAAGTTCTAAATCCATGTAAAATATTTTTAGCATATAGATAATATAACGTATATTTTCTTCAATTCCTTGCAGGATCAAAGATGTATCATCTATATATTGCACTATGATTTTTTGTCTATGAGCGATTAATACTTGTATTTATTTTATTAATTCCAAGCTTGCTTCTTTCATTACTATTGAATTGAGTACTACTCCTATAATAAGAAATAAGTAGGAATCAAGTAGATAGCCTTGCTTCACTATTCTTTTGATTTTAAATGGCTCTAAAAATAATCCATTAATCTTCACACAAACCTTTGTATCATTGAATAATAAATTGACCATATGGTTGAATTTCTTGAATAAATCCATTGCTTCTATTATATAGAAAAATAAAAAAAAATCTATTTTACTATATCATATACTTTTGAAAAATCGAGTTTTTTAAAAAATAGTAGTTGCTTTGATTTTTCTACTCATGCCATAGTATCATGTGTTATTAAAATATTATTTAAAATAAATTGATTAAAAATGAAGGCAAATTGATCCATATTAATGATATTTATAGATACTTGTTGAAGTCTAATTTTTATTGCTTTTGCATAAATTTTATAGCTAACATTAAGAAGTATAATAGGTCTCTAATTTAAAAGGCTATGTCTTATTCTTTTCTTTTATAGTAGTGCTATTAATCCTTGAATCACCCCTAGTAGAAGTCTTCTATTTTGTATAATTTCTTGTATCATGGCTAAATAATCCGGCTCCAAAATATTCTAAAATGATTCATAGAATTCTAGAATAACTCCATTTGGGCTAGGAGATTTACTTCTACATATCTCTTGTATGAAAATTGTGAATTCTCCTAAAATCAAGGCTTTCTTAAGTTGGCCTTCCTAGTCTCTGTGAGGCCAAATTTCACCACTTGATGAAATCTATGCCACACAACAAGTCAAAGAGGTGGAATTGGAGAGCTCCCAATTGTGTAATTTTTAGATAAATTTAAATATTTATATTAAAAATTCAATTAGTTTTAGGCCTTCTAAGAAATGGATATCAACATTAAATTAACATGTTAAATAAAATTTACTATGCAAACATAGTAAAAATAATTAATTAAGTTATTACTATTAATTGACCATAAGAATAAAAACTTAAGTTTTAATTAAAATTAAAATTAAAAGTTAAGTTAAAAAATTTAAAGTTAAAAATTAAGATTAAAAGGTTAAGTTAAAAGTTAAAATTAAATTTTAATTTAAAAGTTAAAGTTAAAAGTTAAAGTGAAAACATTAAAGGTTAAAAGTTAAACTTAAAATTTATTAGCCAAAAAGTGAAATGTGGAGATTATAAGTCATTGTGAAGATGATAGTAAAAACAAAGTAAGAGAGGTGAAAGTGAAGGTACCTTGACAACACGTAAGAATTGAAGGCATCGACCCCCTTCTACTCCAAAATTTGCCAAAATTTTTAATCGGCTTTAATTTGAATTTTTCTTAGCTTATTGCAAGGCCAACTTGAAGATACTTTTGATCCAATAATCTTCGTTGCAATCTTATGATCCAGTCGTGAAAATTCCTCCTTTGAAGTTGAGTGATCCAAACTGCCGCGGTGACCAACCCTCTTCACTTAGAAATTCACTAAAAATTCAGATTATCTTCAAATTCAACAAAACTTGTGTCTTTCAGAGCTTAGCTTATGAAACTTGATGCCCCCAAAATTTCAAATAAAGAAAATCATCAGGCATTGAGAAATGCCTTTCCAAACTTGATTGATTCAAACTGCAAAGGCAGTCGACTCTCTAAAACTCAAAAATTCACCAAAAATTCCTTCTTACTCCAAATTAAGTAAGTCTTATCTTGTCGGAAATTTAACAATAGAAGCTACAACTATTCAGAATCTCACATTGAAACAAAAGAAACTGAGTGATTGATTAAAGAAAATCCAAGGCCCTTGAAACCCTTGGAGTATTTGAAAGGCCGAGGAGATATCTACCTCAATGAAACATATTTTAAAACTTAATGACCATCCTTCACAATGAAAAATCCAAACATACACAATCACAAGGTTCACAATGAAAATTAAAATCTAAATAAAATTAAGATTAGGATTTCGGCCAAATTTTGGCATGACTCTGCCCTTCAGCCAAAAGAAGAGAGAGAGAGGGCTTGGGAAACCAAGCCTCTCTTATAAAATTTAGTGGAGGCTTGTAGAAGGGTGGCTACATCTTCATCCTTAATTTTTAAGATCCCTAATCTAGATCTACGGCCTTCATTCATCCAAGAGCCAATCTCGTCACTAAGGCTGATGGCTCTTGTAAGTGGTCAAGAAAGTATTTTTTTTGTAAATCTAACTTCACTATTGTGTTCAAAACACTTTTTT